ACGTAACAGTGAGAAAAGTAATCCAGCAGGGAGAACAATAAAGGTGTTCTTCTATGCCTCGTGAGCAATTCCAGCATTTTTTAAAAGAAAAACACTGTGGACACGCTAATTACAGTGCGGTTTCAAACTAAATCGTAAAACATGTCGGCACTCCCGTCCGCGGAAGTGAAACTTAAACACAGCTGTTCTCTCTACCACTCATAGTCCAACACAGAGGGCAGAAACGGCCAAATTTGGCAGTTAAAACACATTAAAAGTTCTTAACTCACCCTTATTGTTGTTAGCACTCTGTCTCACAACATTAGCAGCCGCTCTGTCCCCAAGTGAGGGGCAGCAACATGCGCTCGTGTGACCCAAAGAATGGATCGGCCGAACGGACGGATGTATCGGCCGATACCGATACAAGGAAAAAAACGCAAATATCAGCCAAAAATATCGGCCGGCCGATGTATCGGTCGACCCCTAGTCTCCGCCCACAAGACAACATGTAAACATGTAGAGACCCCCTACTCAATTTAGACTCCATTTCCTCTACAAATCACACAGATTCTCAACTTTATCTGCTTGGTGTCGCATCCAAAACAGTTGGACGTGAACTCGCCGGGCAGTTTCTTGTGCGACACCGCGGACGTCGCACAAGAAACCAGTCCGGCAGATGGCCACTTCGAGTCTGTTTTGAGTCCACCTCGAGTCTGTGTGGACCTCTGCGGAGCGAAGTACGCCTGAGTATGTGGGGGCCTTTAGGGGATCAGAGTTAGGCTAAAGAAATGACTGGTAAATGAATAGAAGTGAATGAAAAGTCCCCATTAGCATGGAAGAAGAAGTGTGTGTGTGTGTTTAAATAGCCTATCTGTTTCTCCCTGCTGGATTCAGCTCTAACTCTGTCTTCAGGTTCTTCCTGATGTGTTACCTCTTTGTGAACCTGGCTTGTGCCTTGCAGACCTTCCTCAGGACTCCCAACTGGAGGCCACGGTTCTCCTATTACCACTGGTACTAAAACACACACACGCACGCACGCACGCACGCACGCACGCACGCACGCACACACACAGATGTGAACTTAATCCCCTCTTCTGTTCAGGACCCTGTCATTTTTGGGGATGACAATCTGCCTGGCTCTCATGTTCATATCTTCCTGGTACTACGCAATCATTGCCATGGTGATCGCTACCATGATCTACAAATACATTGAATATCACGGGTATGTTTCCATGGAGATGTATTTCCTCAACATAACTGTACATGCACAGAGCGTTCAATTGTTTTTAGTGTTTTTAACTTGTATTTCCAGTATAAATGAGTTGTCTRCTCAAAGCAGGTTTCCTGATGTATTTTTTTCTACTTKTGTGTCAGAGCTGAGAAGGAGTGGGGGGATGGGATCCGTGGTCTCTCACTCAGTGCTGCTCGTTATGCCCTCTTGAGACTGGAGGAAGGACCGCCGCACACAAAGAACTGGAGGTATGAGCACTTTAAAGCTTTATCAAAGGTGAAATTCTCTAATAAACGTGTTTCAGTTTAGGCACAAGAAGGAATAAATGTCATATTTATTTATACAGCACATTTAAAAACAGCTATGTTGACCAAAGTCAGGACACAGGAAAAACCATTGGTTAGATGAAATAAAACAAATTACCAAGTTCAATAATGTGAGCTAAAAGAAAAACTAAACAACTTCAAAATTCTGATGGAAAAGAATAAAAAGAAGTAAAAGAATCTTAAAATCAATAGGAAAATGAGGCAGCAGCTAATGTACACAGACAAAACTGGAGTGATGTCATGGTTGGACCTGTTCTGACAGTAAAGATAAACTCACCCATGACCATAGTGTCCACTTTATAATTATTTCAAAATAAACTGAGTGTAGAAACAAACACAGACCTCAAACCTCTTGTTGTTTTTTTTTAATTAAGGCATACAGTATTCTGTCAATGACAACTTCTAGACTGGAAGTGAAAAGTTGTCACAACTAGAGGTACAGCGATACATTGATCCACATTGGTGAACTTTAAAAGAGCCTTCAAATGTAAAATTATAAAAGCTTATACTGTTATGTAGGTTTGTATTTGCATTTTGTAACCATGTATGCATGTAATGTATGTGTATATGTATACATGTGTATTTAAGTTGTGTGTGTACGTATAGGTACAGTATACTGAGAGTCATTGAATACGGTAGGCAAGTACAAACCTTGGCTTCAGCCTACTCCGTTTTTGGTAAATTATTTATTTGTATTTGTAAAATTGTTTCATTTTGTTTTCTTTTTCTTGTAG